TTACAATCTCCGAGGACCCCCGCCCTTTGATATTAGGGAGTCCCCCCCGGGATATATATATATACCTACTTACAGAACGTTGTCATAGAAAATAGAACATTTGAATTTAGTAAAAAGGAATTAATTAAAACAAGACAAAGGAGAGCGTTCAGCCTCAGTGATCTTCTTTTTTCTTGTTTTAATTTATTCCTTCTTACTAAATACAACTGTCCTATTTTCTATGACAACGTTTTCACAAGTAGGTGTATATACTATCACTCCATTGTTTCTGATTAGAGGGCCCCTCTTTTTCTACACCTGTCCAACTACATACTTTATTYACTTTCTTTTAATTTCCAGTCTAATCATTTCAACAGTAATATAAGGGACTGTTCATTATTTATGGGCGAGGGAGGGAGAGGGAGGTGGGGGGGGGGGGCCTATCTTTCACCTGAATTATCATAGTTTCCTGTTTGACTCACTTTAACTCAAAAAATATACACTCGAGGTTTCAGTCAATCCTATGACATTTTCTGAAAACAAAATACTCACAAAATACAGATACCAATACTAAAGTTCCAGATAAAGTTGGACCTATTCAATATGTCAGTCCAGATTCCCAGGCGTGCAAATTGTGCCCTAACCCATCTCTCTACACATTACATTATCTATGGAGTGTTTTAATAGAACACACAGAGAGTYCCTGATAGTATGGCCATTGTTCTGAAAGTTTTKGGGTCCAAGATAGATAAGGCGCACTAAGTTCTAAGTTCTATGTCACTTGGTTAGACTATAGTTAGTATGGGTAGACAATCGTCTAGCTTCGAGGGAATGTAGTCCAATTTTCCAGTTGTGATAGGGAAGAAGGYTTGGCATAATATTTGATAAGTCTGAGGAGGGAGGGGGCATCATTAACTTCCCTGCTCTTTCCACTCATTTCTCAACCCTYCCACACACACACTCCATATAAWTATTGTGCAGTCCCTTAGACAAATGTTTGATTCATCATKCCTTGCCCTGCACATGTTCAAGAGAATCATATGATTATTTTTTTTATTGATAGTATAATTTCAGGGACGTCAACTCTCCCGAAATTTGCCAGGAGACTCCTGGTTTCAGATCGAATCTCCCGGTCTCAAGATTTTAGCTCTAAATCTCCCGGGTAGCAAGATATTTTCATA